AGAAATAGTGGGCATGGGGAGCTCATTGCATATTAAAAAAATTCTTAAGACAGGCTGAAATCTATTAGCCCCTGGAGACAAAGATTATGGAGAATATACAGGTTTTTGGCTGCATTTTCATATGTGGAATGCATTTACGTGTGGGAGTGAGAAGTGAGGAGTGGCAGTCAGTCCTATAGCTCAAGAAATACTTTTTTTATTCAAGTTTCACTTATTTCTTTACACAGCCATTGTTAGGTGGTGGATTTAAAGCTCTTGGTTTTCAGATTTTCATTCCCAGCTGAAAGAAGCTGAATAAACTGCATAATTCAGATGTGAGTCAAGGAAAAGATACTGATATACCATCAGAGAGACATGAAGAGTCTGTGCAATCTTGTCTAAATTGTTACAGTAATGCAGGACTTCAGTCAGTCAGAATTGAAGCACAAAAACTTTTGGTATGCTCTTTAGCACATTAAAGAACTTCTCCAGAACAGTTAGTTGGAGAGCCAACATTATTCTCAACTTAATATTAAATAGCTAACTGAAGTTAATTTGAGATGGAATGGCTGAGCCACCAATAATAATTGCAGTATAATTAAATTCAACATCCTAGGGGTAGATACAGAACCAAAAGGCAACAGAGAGGGAGACTAAGCTTTAGAGGAAGTGATTTCAATAAAGTGAGATAGTTAGTCAGAGAGAGACTGAGGTTAAAAGTTAAAAGGGAAAAAACAATTAGAGGCATGGTCTAAGAAGAAACCAGCAGTTTCTTAGAAGTCAGTGTGCCATGGAACAGAAAGGAAAGGTAAGATGACATGCTCAGCCAGTAAAGTGTAAAGTGCTCTTCAAAGAAAAGCACATGGAAATTTGAAATATTTTCGTGAGATAAACACTGAGGAATGTTAATTTCAGCAGGGAGTGTTCAGGGGAAAATGAGAAGACAATGGATTTTCAAGATTATGTGGGCAAAAGTAGAAAACTAAACCAATTTTATATTTTATTTGAACAGCCTGGAAAACATAATCCATTCTTTAAAAATTAGGATTAACCCTTAAAGTACTGAACTGTCATAATAAGGTGTAACAATAGAGAAGAAGGTATGGACATGGATGTTTAGAATCATAAATCTCAGTTCATAACCTGTATGGTTCAGCATCTTATAATAACTTCTTATAATTGTCCTTGAAAAGGTCCAGGATTTCCAGAGCTGAATGAAGTATTTTAATTGTGGCCACACTGCCATTTGGTTTGCTCTTTTAACACTGAAATTGTAATCCTTCTTATACTTAAACAATTGCATATTAATATAACTACTGCATAAATTAATATAGACAGAAATTATTTTCAAAGAGTTTGACAAAATACACCATATATGAAAAACACTAGTTAATTGGTCACATGATTTATAATTTCAGGGCTCAAACTAACCAGGTTTTCTGACACAAACCTTTTGTATTTAACATTCTCATGTTCTATTTTTGAAACAGTTTTTTCACTTTCTTTTTTTTTTCCCCACAAAAAGTATTTGTGAAACTGGGATTTGAGGAAGTTTGCTCCTTATATATTAAAAGAAATTCCTCAGTTTGTAATCATATTTGATAACACAGGAAAATAAGCTGGTGTAAGGCTTGCGTAATAAACAGAGTGGGAAACAGTATGGAAAGAGTATTTTATAACCTCATTGTGAAAAATACGTGTTATGGCCTCATCTGGCTTCTCTGTGCAATAGTGGTCACTGCAACCACGTGAAAATTTTCTTCCCTCCAACTCCCTTGTACGTGCTCTTATGATAAAGTAAGTGCTTTTTGGACCATTCAGAATAATACAGAACCAGCTTTGGTTTGGGATTCTTTTCCAGAAAGGATTCTAAACAATTATTCCAAATGTTACATTTGTTATGGGAAATAATTGCACAATGAGCCAGATTTACAAAATCAGATGTTAGCAAGTTTTTTAAACATTGAGAGTGATTTTGATACTTTTAGGCTGGGTGGGTAATTGGATTTGAATGGTAAAGGGTGATGTTAATTTTCTCAAAACTGTACATGCAGTGCCTGTTCCTGCTGGTGGCTTAGCTCATTAAATTATTAATGTTGGAGGGCTGGAGTGTGCTCGGAGTTCAAGTTGCCTGTGTTCACACAATGGGATGCTCTTCAGTGGAGAGACTAAACTCAAAGAAGCCATGGAAAGGTTCTGATACCCAAGTATGACCATATAACTTTACCATAAGGTTCATTTTTAATGCCCAGGGTAGGAAAAGAAATTTTCTAGTTTAACTGTGACACAGTTTTTCATTTAACCCTTTCTCTGTGAATTACTTGTGCCAACAGTTGATAACGTCTTAAAACCTATCTTCTATAAAGATAAAATATAATATTTTCTGTTCAAAATCATTCCTTGGCATACTTCTGTGTTGCAGCACACCAGGTTTTTCTTCACTGTCCAAATAAGTGTCTGATAATTTTGTTTTCACATGAAAATGTTCTTAAGATATTTTTTGCATTTTAAAATACTCTTTTATATTTGATACTTGCAGCTGGCTTTGGGTGGAAAAGAAATAGTGAGATTTCTAGACAGTGGAAGGACTTTGTTTTTCTTTAAGGCAGTGTTCATGCCCAAAATCCCTTGTATAAAGTAATACTTAAGGTAACTGCAGACAGTGTCTTCAGGAGTGAGTTTTTTCCTGAATAGAGGTGAGGTGGTGCAGGGAGAAGAGGAGAAGAAGAAGAAGAAGAGGAGAAAGAAAACATTCTTGATTATTTTTGTTTGGATCTTTTATGGAAAATGGTACTTTATTACAAGCTCAGGTGCATTAGTTCATCAGGATATTATGGCAGGGATTTTTGTTGTTGCTTTACCCATTGTACAGTGTTTCTTGTGTTTAGGGTTTGTTTTTTAACCCCAAGATGAACATAAGTAGGCGTCATTTTGTGTTTTGTATCTTATCTTTGAGAAACAAATAACTATTTAATTAGCATTTATTTTCTGTTATTATGAAAAATAAATTGAATCATAGAATCACAAAATATTTTGGGTTGGAAGGGGCTTAAAAGCTCATCTTGTTCACTATCCTGGGTTGCTCCAAGCCCCGTCCAACCTGGCCTTGGACACTTCCAGGGATGGGGCAGCCACAGCTTCTCTGGGCAAC